ATTATCGCAAGTTTGTGGTTTAATTAATTGAAAAGTGCGTGTGTCCGGCCATAAACACGTCGAATGGATAACCGTTTAAAAAATTTTTTTCAAACGACTTACGACTTATAACAAGCATCCCTATCTAGTTTAAATAATTTTTTTGCCCTTTCCAATAATTGTCATGGAAACAGCCCTGACCAGTAAATGATATGTGAAAATTTAACAAGTAATTTTACGATTTTTAACACATATATGGCAGCACTGTTAACGCGCTCATATAATTTTTGAATAATACCGACGCTACGACAATTACAGTTTACGCTATGACAATTAGTTTACAGGTTACAGTTCAGTTACAGTACAGTTAGCGATGTTATTTTTGTTATTTTTTCAATTAATAGAAAAATCTGAGTTCCTCGCTTTGACTAAACACGTTAATATTTGATGAGAAGAAATACCGTTAGCATTGGCTTGAAAGACTGTCGAGAAAATAATTTGTGAGCGGTTTGCTAATTTTTAATAAAGTCGATGATGATGTGCGCTCTGATCGCCCGAAGTCGGTATTTGTTCCAGAAAACTTACGCGATCGCGATAGCTATGACATCCATATTTTAGGATACTTATGGAAAAGGAGCAAAGGATCAATGATCATCAAAGCAAATCAAATAGTATGTAGTGCGTAGTAATAGTAATGGTATTAGTAATAGTATTATAAGTGCGTTTGTATGCCGAAATTGCAAGAAACGTCAAGTTACACCGGAGACGCTTTAAGCGATGTGATAGACTCCATGTGGAGCATAAATTTTTTGTATTTGCTTTTTACTAAAGGCAGCCAGGAGTGAGAAGAGATAGATATCTGACATGTTTTAAAATATTTGACTTTTAGTAGTTGAGCACAGAAGATAGGAAATACAGTGATCTCGTGAGATTCATTCCTGTCTGGAGGGTAATAGAGTTACAGTATGAATCTTCATTTTATTAATTTCTTTCCGCTAGGTTAAAAGTGCTGCTCGTCTACAGCTAAGATAAAGCTAACAACCCGATGTATTCATTTAAGAGGCAGATGGCACACTTGATTGCAGTATAACAGGAGGACCGTCTCGTACGAAGCAATCGGCAAAGGGAGCTCATTTCGATCTAACCTGGTTTGCGCATTGTGCGAATTGCCCGAATTTCTAAGTTCACTTCATAATAAGTGCGAAGATTATGCCTAACCCTAATCTAAGTACGTTTTTTTTTTTCTTTATCAGAAACCACGTCACGATTTGACTCTTAATCAGGTACGCGAATCCATTTGGAAATGTAATAATTATCACAAAATTCTGGTTCAAAGTTTAAAAGTGACTCAAAGTCAACATATAGCGAGATTAGGGTTAAAGTATTTTTATAGAAGTGGGAGTCGTCTCTAATAACAATCAATGGCCGGTTGTTAACAAACTCAATATAAAGAAATGGTTTTTTGCAGAGCGTTTTGCGCAATCGTCTCTCAGTTGTAAGTCTGTCGCAAAAAGATTGCTGGCAATGGTTAAACTCAAAATTGAATATGCCTCACTTTTGCATTCTATACAGAATATTTTATGTGTATATATACAATAAACGTATTGCCCTCCGCTGAAAGTCTACGACTTATCTGAAGCAGCATTCTTGGATATTTGTTTTTCGATCGGGTTTTGTACATGTTTTTTTTTCAGTTTTTGTATTTTTTTTGTTTTTTTCTTTTTGTTTACTTTTCATAGGATTCCTTTTTTGTTTCTTTTTTGTTTTATTCGAAGATCGTTGCTTTTTGTACTTATGGTTTGTACGCTAAAAGATTTTGTGTGTAGCTTTTCATGTGCGTTCCTCGCAATGTTATGCTGAGTTTTGTATTCTTATTTATGTATTCCTTAGACACATACGAATGCAAAAACAAAAGATGAAAAACCAGTCAAAAAGTTAAGCTTAAAACGATATGTGTTGCTTATGCTACTGGTCCTCTTCCTCTCTTTCTCTACTTCTCTCTTCTCATCTGTCATTCGTTTTTTTTTTTTTTTTTTTTTTTTTTTTTTTGTTTCTAAATATGCACACACATAGATTCCTGTGAATTCATAACCAACCAGTCTCTTGTACAACGAGTTGTTTTTCGTACTCCCCAAGCTAAAGGTTTCAAATCAATTTCATATTTAGCAGAATGACCGCGTAGGTATCATATCATAAAGCCACTCAAAAGTCGACAATGCCTAACTTAATTCACGAATACCTTTTCAAAAATTTATTGATAATGTGCTTTTTTGTAGTTATTTTTCAAAATTTTGGATTCAAAACGTTTTTTTTAGACATTGTGCTTAACTTTTTTAATGCTTTGCACAATTTTTCATTTTTATTTAATTCTCTCTATACATATAATTTGTTTTTCACTATGATTTCACATACGCCTGCACACGCGTCAACGAAGGCGTTTTAATCACTTTCAAAGTTCAACTCCAACTGATTTTGAATTTTACTTCGAAAAAACTTATATTACATTATATACATCAACCAATTGTCAACCTGATCTTATAGCTCACACTTGCTAACACACACTCAGCTTCTTTCTAAACCGGCTTTATTTTCACGTTTCTCTTTTTCTCTCTTCTGTTTACTTTAAGGAAAAGAGAAAAAAACAAGAATATTTATATACATGCATACAGAAGCGCACATACGTATACACTTCAAGACAAAACTATAATAACTTTTGCTTAACAACTTTTTCTACAAAGTATTCCGAAATTTAACGGTTTTTCCATTCATTTTCATTCGATTTTATTCAATTTATTTATTATTATTATTATTATTATTAATTTCGCCAGAGAAATAAATTCTAAGACTAAACTCTTAAAAGCACTAGCATCTAAAGGCTATCGGCTTTTATTATTAAAAACTCTACCGCACTTGAGATTCGAACCCACGACCATTGACTTGCTAGTCGAGATTCCTCGCCTTCGGCTACTCAGGCGGTGGCTAAAATTTAATAACATCGTTCACATTAGAAAGCACTTCTAGAAAGAATATTTAGTTACTCGCTATTATAATTTCTTCTAATTGGAAAGAAGTCCCTAAGCATCTAAAGTTGTAAGTTTCGGGAAAAATGGGAATATATTACAGAATTCATCACAAGGTCTTGGTTGTAATTATACCACATACCAATTGCATTGCAGAGTATATTAAGTTTGTGCGGACTTAGTACAGACTGCCTTTTCATTATATCGATCGATCCAAAATCATTTCTTGAACCGACGTAAGTATGTCTGCCCATGATTTTTCGATGAAATTTGGTACACTGACGCGCTCTCGTTTTGGGGTGAACCCAGCTATAAAGCTCGCCTTATGTAACCGTCCCTACGAAAAGTAGCATTGAGAGAAAGTGTTTCGCGCAAATTTATAAGATAAATCACTTGTGAATGCATTGAGAGGCAGTGTTCCGCGCAGTCACGTCAAGTACAACTTTGTGATGGCGTCTGTTTGTGTACAAGAATTATCAGAAACTAGAAAGAAAATTAACAAATTTTCATTATTTTCGTGAGGGTTAAATCTCGTAAATGACAAAAATAATCCTTTTGCAATATAATATTCAGAGCTTTGGACGCAATGCTGACATTTTCCATTTTTTTTCTAAATTTAAAAGCAGTAAATTTTTTGTAGCGAAAATTTCTCATCTAATGAAAATGCATCGGATCTGAAAATCTCGAAATGCCGTCCTTATGATGATGATGAAGTTGTCGTGGTCATAATTATTTTAAAAACAACCAATCCAAGGCCTAATATTGTGAAAGTGTTTGCCCTCTTTCCATCTAATGTTCCATTTCAATTCTACTTTAAAGACGAAATAGAAAGACTTTCTGATTTTCTGGGTGGTTTTCATAACGTAGTCCTGGATGGTGATTTTAACTCAAGACCCACTGGTTTTGGTGATTTGATTTCGAGCAACAGGAGAAAGGCCCTTTCCATTGTAAAACTGTACTTTCTTTAGTTGTTCTAATAAACGTACAGTCACTTTTTTTGCACGCTGATTGTGGTCCGATCATCGGAAGTTCGTTGGATCCGACTTTTTTAAATTCTACTCAATTAATTTCTCAGCGGGAAATTACGAATGATGCTTGTTTAGGTAACAGCTGCCGTCTTTCCACCAGTTTTGAAACTGACGAGAATTGATTCATAAAAATTAACGGCTTTATATCTCATAAGTTTTTACTAGATTGCTTGTCTAATGTTAACTTAGATTCTGAAATTTCCTCAATTCAAAAAATATTTCAAACGGAAAATAGAAATGCTAAAACAAATCTGTAAACAACGAAACTTTTCTGCCAAAACCATGGTGGAAAGCTTCATTTTCTGCTATCCTCGCAGATTGCACGCTTCCAGACAAAAATTTTCAATATACGCGAATTCTACCAATTGAAAGTGGCATTTCAAGGGAGTTCAAAAAGAATGGAAAGTGGCGGTAAGGAAAGCGAAAAGGAAGCATTGGATTCTTTCAATTTAAGAATTGCGCCTTAACGGCAACAAATGGCTTTTTTGAAAGTTCTTAAATGGTCATCGTCAGACTAAGAGAACTGGGAATGAAGCCAACAACAAGCTGCACCTACGTTTGTTTGTTGACTGGAACCTAGATTGCTGTTACTTCCTTATAATTATCTGACGCAGGCATGCCATCTTCTTTTTAGATGAACTTACGACTATTTTGCTGCGGGATGTGACGGGATTAAATACGATATGATCAAAGTTCTCTCTGATCAAAATCTGTGTGCCTCTTTGAATGCCATATACAAATGTTTGATTAAAAACATCATTTCAGACGAATGGCGTCGTACACAATTATTCCGATTCCGACGGTCGGCAAGAATCGTGACAAGTTGGTTAATTATAGATCCATCTTCCTCATTTTGGTTCTAATGAAGATTGCAAATTCCATCAATCTCGATCTAACATCGTCTATCTAGTTACTTACCTTCGTACGGGGCTTTACTCAACAAAAGCACTCACAATTTACAAAACATTTATCCGCTCAAAAATAGAATATTCTCTCTTCACTACTTGCAACCTCCCTAATCTACCAAGAGGGTTACCTGAGCTTTAGTTCTTACAGCTAAAAAAATTGTGAAAATCAAAAATTTTTATCAGATGAGGCCTCTTAGATTTAGAGCGTTGTTCTAAACTGTCAATGGCTTGCTTTTCTCGATCTGTTTTTTTTCCAAACTAATTATTCTATCTCCACAACTAATTTTCAATATTTTAAACTCAACTTACGAGCAATCATTCACTTTCTGACCAGAAAAACCACGTAATTCGTGATTTATAGTCCTTAACAAAGGATATCTACCGCAACCGCAACGACCACGGAAATCATCCAGGTCTAAAGCCCACACCATGGCGCCACCGAGACGCATTCTTCTGATATACTGAGATTTACGACGTGTACGTTCTCCATCGTCGTAAAAAACCCGCTGATTACCTCTACAAGCATACGGACCAATACGACCTTCAGAATCACGCATTACCGTCCAACCGCCATTGCTAATCTCTTAAATTATTTCGTAATAAATAAAAAGCCTCTGTACCTTGTGTAGAGACCAGCGCGACCAGGGCCAAGAGGTTCATTTAGAATCTTCAGCAAGTGTAAATGCTTGGCCATACAAAGGTATACCCATTTCGCTATTTTTCCAGAGTGTTTGCAACTGTTTACAACTGTTTAAGACTGTTTAAGACTGTTTAATGACATTAAGCGTTTGTAAGGCAAAAAGAGCAATTTTTAATATTTCATAGCAAAAATCGGTCAGTAAAAGGAATATTGCAATTAAATTAACTGTGCCAAATTTGGACAACACAAATCTATTTTTTAACCCCTACATACAAGTTCTTATAAAAAGAGAGCCGCAAAGCCTAATTTACAGTGCTTCACGACGAAAAGGGATAAAGACTACTTGGAACTTAATTTTATTTCCATATAAGGTATTAGCTTTATAGCTGTGGGCGCTGGATTCTCCATGGCCTGTGGAGCTTCTTCTCGCTTGGATCATGATCTTTTTCTTTCATTGTCGTAGGTTTCATCACTAGTTATTAAACGTTGAAGGAATGGCTCGAGTTCATTCGCCCAATTAAATTTTGTTGAGTCAAGTCTGGCGGTACCCACACATCAAGTTATTTTTTGTGACCAGCTTTTTGCAGATGGTTGAGTACTGTTTTGTGATTGATGTTTAAGTCTCTGGCAATAGCGTGACTGCTTATATGACGTTCTTGTTCGACCATTTCATTCATTTTTTCCATGATTGGCCGTCCACTTCGGGGAGCGAGTCTAGTTTTACCGACCGGAAACGATTGAACCATCTTTTGGCTATTGCTTTTGATAACGTATCTTGCCCATAAGGAGCACATATTTCTTCGCGAACCTGTGCAGCATTTGTACCTGTCGGAATAGAATTGTGAAATGTAGCGCGGTTTTCCCGACAGCTCACTCATCTCCTGAGCAATGTATTTACGACATATATTAAATTTTTAATTTACGATCTCCGGTCTCGGATCTGTACTATTTATTTTTTTGATATGAAATTAATGTAAATTTTACATTTTTTTAGCCAAAAACGAAACGAAAAATATACAAGAATTTTAAACAAACGGCGACATCACCTGCGATGACTCGAAGCCGATGGGTGTCAAGGCATTGTTCGACAGGACGACCGAGGCTGTGAATGCAGTCCCCCCGAAGGCCCTAGACGTCGTCGAGGCAGAAGCGGCGGACGTGGGCGTCGTCGTGGCAAACACAGCGGGCGTAGAAGAAGAAGAACAGTTCCGAACGCCCTAAAGGAGGCAGACGCGTTGTTATCAACAACATATGTGGTTGATTTATTAAACGGTAGTTGTAATAAATGAATAAATATTTTCAATTAAATTCAAGGCGTTATCATTAAAATTATTATCTAAATGATTTACATATCGAATGCGATTCTCCTTCGAAAACTTATTAGTTATAAAAAGGGAAAAGTTTTTATGAATAAAGCAAGTAAAACCCCCGAAAATATTAAACGTAACTAAGGTAACAAGAGAGCCACAATCTCTATAAGAATAGAAATACGAATAGTTAACCAGGGTTAACTTAGTCCTAATTTATGACTAAGGCGGTACGAGGGTTAGCTGAGTGTGCCATTGATTCCCATGAGAATGATGGAGGCGTTGACGATACCGCTGAACTGGCAGAAAATTAGAAGCGTTTCGTGGCCCTGCATAGTTTTCAACCAATATACCGGCTCTTTAGAGAATAAACGCATAATCTAACCGGGCTTTAGAGAAAATAGCGTATATCTTCTCAGTAATTTGTATAAAAATTCCAAACATGTGAGAATAAGCGTCCACACTTGTGTTTACGTACATGTTATCAATAATTTGTATAAAAATGCCAACCATCTGAGAATAAGCATGAGCGTATATGTTGTATAAAAATGCCACCCATCTGAGAATATTTTTCAATAATTGAACATGTATTTGTATAATCTAATGGCGCTTTAGAGAATAAGCGTATAATCTAACCGCGCTTTAGACAAAATAGCTTACATGTTCTCAGTAATTTGTATAAAAATGAGAATACGGGTTTAAGAGGCAAGTTTTTAAGTGACATGTATATTTAAAAAGTTTTTTAATAAAAAAAATTTGCAAATAATTCTAAAAGTATGCTAAGTAAAAGGATGTTAAGTTTGTTTAAACCACTGTTTTAAAGTTGTAGCCTACTTTTAGGGCCTTTACGAAATTCTTTCAACTAATTGAGGTAACCGCAAACTAATTATTTCTCAAAATTTGATATGAAAAAATGTTTATTTGTATATTTTTCATTAACACTTTCCTATAAACATAATGCATAATGATTTCTTTTTATTTAATTTGTGCTAAGCTGTAAAAATTTTATTTAGTTAACTTCGTAAGATCCGCAGATAACAGGACTAAGCAATCCCGTTTTTTTTTATTATCACACTACGGAAGCTGTTTACAAATGACCAAATACACTAAAATCCAATTTGGCAGCTCAAGTGTAAAGTTCAATAAAGAAATCTGTGCGAACATTAAAACTACATTGATTAAGAAGCATGTAACAAACAAAGGATAACATGGAATTGATCAAAGTTGTGAAATGAATTGAAACTAAACGAGTCCCTTTTATGCTTATGCAGGCTTTGTGAAATTTATATTGGACAATGTGCACAACTTTGCCTTTGCTTTGTGTTAGCAAATGCAACAACCTCTGTTTATGTTGGAATTTTTGGTTTTGTTCCATTCCATTGTGGCACTTCGGCAATGCACAGTAAACTCTACTCTCTACGATTCTTAAATGCACACACATTTCCGTCTTCCGCACACGCATTGAATAATTTTACAAAATTCGAAAAATTGTTCGACGTACTAACATAACTGTGACTGATTACATTTATACATTTCGATCGGGAAATTTAATTAAGTTCTTCACCATTTTCTACATTAAATCTTCTAATATTATAACGTCACTGTTTGATTTTAACAAGAATTTCATCAAAGCATCCAATAAAGAACGAAATGGGCTGTTTCGTCAACAACAACACTAATTCTAATTGATTTTTGTAAAGGCAGTCCTAATCCAAGGTTAAATAGAGTTGGTCTTCAACCAATAGATGGGTAGTTATGATTTTTATTATCAGTATTACTGCAACCAAAGCTTCTATGCTATGCTACTTGTGGTGTAGGCGTATATTAAGTTTGTGCAGATGTATATAGCACCCAAAAGAGCTTGAACCACCATTTATAATGCTGATCTATTCTAAATTACTTTCTGAACCGATCCAAGCTTGTCTGGCTGCCCGTTCGTGTGTCTTTCTATCTTGTGTCCAATTTGCAGATCGCAATTTTTAATGTGTTTAGATAAAGTTTGGCGTAAGGACAATCGCTATCAAAAATTGGACCACTTTTTCGATCACTTCTCACACCATGCATACCGCATAGTCTTCACTTAAGCAAAAATTTATAATTGCCGAATGTTTGGCAATAACGGACATATACATGAACAAGCAAGAAAATTAAATTCGGCACGTTTCACGCCAAAAAAAGACAAAAGAAGTAAAAGAACAAACTTCTCATACTCGATAATAGGGAGTGGTCGCAGTTGATATCTTCCATTTTCAAATTAAAAGTTTCTCTCATATAGCCACGTAGGCGTTGCAGGTGTGTCCTTTCACTAGTTTAGGTCAATTCGAAATTCCTTTGTAAATTTGTAGACAATGTGCTCATCTTTGCTGACGGTAAAATGATTCCCACAAATACTACAAAGTTGCACAAACAGCAATAAAGGCGGACAGATAGGCGGGGATGCTTAGGTTCTTTCCGAATTTGAAGCTGGCCGAGAATTCATACACTTTATGAGATTTTTGATGTTTGATTCTGCGCGTTATAAAGGTACTGAAGAAAAATATAAATTTTGATATATCGTAGCATTGGGTGGGCGCAGTCAATGTTTCCCATTTCCCATACAAGCACTCATAGAACATACATTCAATTTTTTTGCAAATTTGTGTGCTTTAGTTTATTAGTAATGAACAAAAAAATATATTTCGTTACTCTTGAAAAGCAGAGGTATTGTCAGTTTATGTGGTAGTGTAGACGTATCCCTTCTTCTATTTAGCCCATCTTCAATACTAACCTCTGTGGAAGAACGTTCAATGTTCATTCAGGAGGATGCTTACGGCAGACGTTACGCAGAGGGCCAGAGGGACAGACGGACATGTTTAAATCGATTCAGAATTTGATGCCCCTCAAGAAATGGTCTCTGATGTTTCCTTCTGCCTATTGCGAATGTTTGACAAAAGGTGATGGGTGAATGGGTGATGGGTATAAAAAAAATTAAAAAAAAAAATTCCCGTTAATATTAATCATATATGCTTATATATACATAAGTTTATGTTATAGGTAATGATAACTCTTTCGAAAAATATTATACAAGTAATTTACATAACATATAACATAAGCAGCCACTCGCTTCTTTATCGTAAAATAGACAAGAACTACTTCAAATTACGATTTTTGTAGATATATAAACGGCTCACAGTTGTGTAGTATAATAATAATAACAATAACAGCATAAAAATATGTTAGCCTAGTTCCTATTTGTGTCAATTGTTTGCAGTCAATCAAAGTCGAAGTAAAGATTATTGCAGTGTAATTAGTGTTTACGACTTTCTTTGTTTTCTTTCCTGGCCGTTTTATTGTTTATAGGAGACGCATCAATAATGTATTCTGGAATATTTTAAAGCCTGATGAAAAAGTTCGAAATTGATTTTTAAGAGAGAATGGATACTAATGGTAGATACAGCACAACCTCTTAGCAACCTTAGAAACGTTTCCAAAAAGAAAAAGTATTGGCTTTTATTTGTTACAGAAGAAGAAAGTGAGAAAGCGAACACAGAATATAGTGTTCTTACCAAAGCGATTCAGCCTCGCAGCTGATGCGAATGGTACGCTTGCATCTGCCAAGATTCTCAGAATAATTCCACTTTTCGTTCCCACAAATGTCGACATTTTTGTTGATAGAAAAAGTGTCCGCACATTTCGATATGTGCTGTTACTATGACTGCTTATCTTTGCCAAATTTCCGAGCTATGACATGTGTGGTAGAGTACACGTGGCATTATGGGCAATTTCTGCTTTCATATTTACTTACGCAGCATATGAGTAAGACCAATAATTGCGTACTTATTGTTCCCAACAAGTACAGGAAAGGAATGAAGGGTTCATTTTAAGTGAGTCTTAAAATGACATTCTTTTCCTAATGTCATACGATTAAGATGACTGATCGATTTTCATCATCGTAAAGTAGAAATGCTAAGAAAACAAAAATAATAATAAGAATGGCATGTGTTTCTTACCTGTCTTGAGAGTAGGGAAATCGTTTGCATATTTTATTTTACGCTTCCCCAACGGCAACGTATAAATAGCAGTTCGTTGAGCGAAACGTTGCACGCTTTCATCGGCGACGTTGATAGTTGGGACGGATGGCAAAGAGCATTTTTGATTAGACGAGCTTTTCGTCTTAGAATGTTTTTCCGATGACGAAGTATTTGAGTTGCTAGAACAATGCAAAATGAATTAATTAATTAGCGTAAAAAGGGCTTACTAACTAAAAGGGCTTGCTGCTAACCTGATTGCTTTGTAATATTGGCAAAAGAAATCGGGTCGTAATTTATAATGTTGTATATACTTTTCACAGGTACGTATGAATGTAGGATCTTCAGCCAATGGAATAATAGTAAATTTCGATTTTTGCTTCGCAGCACAGCAGACCACCATATTGCATTTACTGTTGACATTTTCACTGTTTTCGTTTTTGACAATGTCGTCTTGCTTTAAATGTTCAGTGAATAATAAATATGGGAACTTATCAGTCTCGAGATCGGGAATATTATTAAAAAATTCATCAATTTTTCGAAGAGCAATGTTACTACTGTCGCCATCAGCGGCACCTGCGCAACTGGCACAACTACCTTTGCTGCTTCGATACTTGGATTTGATCTGCGATTCCTTTGGTCTTTTGCTAATACTTTTCAAATTATTGTTGCTATTGTTGTTATATTCAGTGGACAGGGATGAATTATGACTTATGTTTGCGACCGCTGAGTCCAATGAGTTTAAACGTTGTTTGTAATCCTCATATGTTTCATCAGGGAGCAACATATCATTTTTATTAAAGCCGTTCTCCTTCTTTTTGTTTATTATTGTTTTTATCTTTTCTTGTTAGGTTGGCAATTTCTAGTCATTCTTAGAATCCAATTGGGGATCATCTGTAAATGTATAAGAATTGCCACGTTACTCACGCTGTGTGGTCTCAATTAATTTTCCAGTACGGCTAAAATTCTTTTTTTCAATGACCATAACTTCTCAAAGGCATGTTAATTTTGCCTTTCAGTGCGCGCCTAACAAACTAACAAAGTTATTTCTTAGGTGACTAGCATTGAGAGTATAAGTGGATGTAGTTTTAATCCTCGCCTGTTCTGGTATACAAATGACGACAGTGACTTCAACTATTTGCATAGGTAAGGAATAAAGAAAGTAGAAAATAGGCGCCTACTGCATCTGGAGATCGTTAGCTTGGATATGTCAATAAATTTTGCGGAAAGCTTACATAGCATATATTGCTTCTATCTGTCCAACTAAATGTATGTATGTTCTCTTCCAAGAATGATTCCTAATACAGCAATTCCATCATCTTTTGCTGCCGTTTTTTCTTCTTTTTTTTTTTTTTTTTTTTTTTTTTTGGTTGTTCTTATCTAAATATCAATTGCAATGTTTTTTTTATATGAAAAGGCAAAAACAATTTGCCAGCAATGACCAATGGGAAGTTGGAGAGATGAAAATAAATTTGAAATTCGTGCGCCATGCTGCTACATTTAGGTTTGCGTACGTACGTACGTGTGGATGTAAGCGCACATGCATGTATGCAATGTTTGTATGGAGTGTGGGACATTTAATAGAATTTGTCTTTCGTACAAATTTATTTGTTGTGCTCATTTGTACTTTTTACGTTATAATAGGTTCTTCATGCAATTTGGCAGATGCAGACCGATCTTTCAACTTGCGAACGTTTGCTTCACATTTTTTTTTCTAAGCCTTTTTATCTAAAAATTTATATGTATGTACGTGGATATAATTAAAATTTTTAAATCATGTTTTCATAAGAAACGAAAAAATTCTGTATATAACTTAGGAGACGAGATCGCTTCGAAAAACCTGATTATCTGCGTGCACGCGTTTACACTCTCCCTTTTTTAAAAACAAAAGCAAAAAAGTTATTTATCTTACGGGACGACTACGTGAAAACCGCAAAAAAGAAGTCATGAATACAACATCACATAACATACTTTTTACGATACCCAAAATGGTAATGCTATCATCAGGCTAAAGAAGCTAAACACTTTTTCAATGAAAGATACAACGCAAATGGCTGAAGAGGACTCTTTGAAATAAAAATCGCGTGCATTTTTTCATACGCAGTTGTTATCATTTGTTGTAGATACCACTAAATGAGGAAAAATGTCAATGCGTCGCAAACCGATCACTAATGAATTTTAATAAATATGACATACGCGAAAATGGTCGAACACGGTTTGTACCCTTTACACAACGCCGTATAATAAATGAATACATTTATATATACATTTGTTTTGTGTCCACTTAGCCAAACATTAAAGTAAGAGATATGTATTAAGGTTATCGTCTCGTTTGTAACATGGAAACTAGTCATGATATAATTAATTAACGTGGAATTCGTCCATTCGATAGTTTCTCTCTCATCTCTCATCTATAGTTCCAAACCTATTGTTAAAACCACAAAAACCAAGCGACATAATGGAAAACGGAAATATTTCTGTAGCATATGTCCAAAGATCACACCTAAAAGTGCGCTCTCTCGAAAACACCGTAAATAGTTGGACCAAATGAAAAAAATCCCATAAACATATTGTTAATAATAACCCATTTGCATCGATCCTCAGTTAATACCAAGATGCGACTGAAATCTTCTCCATTTCGGTTTCTCATTTCGTTTTTTTTTTTTTTAATATTAAATAATATTACATTTTTTGTGCACCAAGACGTCTGTCTGCGTGTGAAGCACTTGGAATTGAAGGTGAGAAGGGGGATGGTACTGGCACACGTCTTGGTTTGAAAGTGCAAGCATCTAAAAAGGTGGGGTAAATCACTGCTGGTAAGTTATTTCAAGGCTGGTCAAGACGATTGAAGAACAATCAGTTGCGGTGTGTAGTCGCGTTATGCAGGCATTTGTCCAAGACAATTGAGGGACAACGCTGACAACGCCGATAATTCCCTTTAAGGGACTTAATTGGGATTCAAATCTCTTGCCTGCATATACCTACGTATATATTAGTAGGACACAACGCGCATTACGCAGATGCCCAAACTTATAGAGAAATTTGGACAAATTGTCATCGTCTAAAATTATTTCGCGATTCTCCGACATTACCTAGGTATTCCCGCTCGCCGGTGTGGATGGTGCGGATGCAGTGGAACATTTTCCGTACCCCGTTAGTTCGCCCTAGGGCTGGAGGGGCTGGAGTCAAAGTAGATTGTTTTAATGGCAAAATAGTGCCCAGGAAGTAGTAGCATTATTAAAATTTTTACGTAAACTCATAAAAGTTTACCCAAAATCTCACAGCAGAAGCGCTGTATTTTTTCCAAGCTTTCGAGGAGTCCGAATATTCGCATACACGCATACAAAAATCAATGATAATGTTATACACAATGTTTAACTTTGAAAAAGTATTTTTGTTTGCTAAATTGCTTGACGACATTAACATGTTTCGGTAAAGAAGAAAAGTTTCCGTCAATAGATCATTGATGATCTGCGCAAATGACGTTTTTTATAAGTTCTGGCAATGGTATACCTTCCCTAACAAAGTACTTCGTAGCATACAAAAGAATAAACGACAATTCGCAGAATTTTATTTGTACTGATATCCCTCATCGTCAACTACGAAGATCTAAATTGGCGGTCATACTTTATATGGATAATCACCTACCAAACAGGGATTCTATGTAAGTACAGCAGAAATCCATAGGACGACTTACATTGCGGAATCGAAAAAAGGGGCAACTTGCCAGTGTCTGTACCAATATCGTCCACCTTTAACTTAGATGAGTTAAATTGATGGTCATATCTTGTCTCGGCCATTGCCTACCAAGGGGCACTTGATATAAGCATAGCGGAAGCTCTTACAAGAGGCTTACATTGCGAAAACGAAAAGGTGCAACTTCTCAGTAAATTGCACATATTCTCTAGAAATCACAAGACATTAACAATCGCTACTAAACCATGTAAATAGATAGTAAATTTAAGGTAGCAAATATGCCCTTGTTTAACAATCTGTTCGACAAAAATACTTGTTATCGAGCGTGCGGTCAGAATGAAAAAGAATGCATTAAAATTCTAAACAACGTTGCCCTTTAGTGAATATTTTATTCGACACATAAACTCCTCCTTCAGTCGCATAAATAAGAAATCTCTAAGAGTGACAAGCACTACCCCAACAACAAGGCACGCGAAGTTCTATTAGGATTATATGCTTTGAAAAGTGACGTTAATGAGAAATTCAAACAAATTCAACCTGATATTATGAAGTAATTTACAGGTTCAAAATAACAATAAATATTCATTGAAGAGGAGTAGCTGTTAATTGTTAAATAACCGACACGACGACACTCATACTAGAGAAGAAGAGGGCAAGTGCTTTTACAAACACATGCTAATACTTATAGATAGTTAATAGCGTTACCGTTAAAGTGATTCAACGCAAACATAATATATTACATGAATACAAAAATAAATAAATATCTTCTCTCAGACAAAGTTACATTTAACAATGAGATCAGCGTCATAGTAGCAGAGTGCATCTTTTTAAAGAAACATTTCACAATTGGCGGAATTTATGAATAAACACTGAAGAAAAAGAGGGAGAACCACCTGCGTGTATAATAAATTTCTTTTCCTAAATCAGCTTTTTCCATTCGCGCGCTTCGTTCAATGAATCTCAGTACGCAGGAATAGTTAAGTATTGACAGCAAGATTTGCTGGTATCCTCTACTCTTTATCCATCAAATGTCATAAATTATACTATTTTTTTTTTTTTTTTTTTTTGTTTTCTCAAATCAAATAAACCATAAAAGAATAACGAACGATCTCACATATATTTTTAAGCTTGAAATTTTGAAAAGGCAAAAAGATTAGTAACATGATGTAAAACAAGCTCAGCGCAAGAGCTAATCGTTAAAAGCTAAATAATCAAATTTAGTATCGTCAACTTTTTTCATTAAAGGAGTATTTTTCCGCCTATTTGGAGCGTTTTCTTACATTTAAGGTTTAATTGTTAATGTTTCCATTAGAGAAGTATTTTTTCTTCATCTACTTATATTATGCCCCGCACCAATTTTGGTGCAGTATATTCAGCAGAATATTATGCAGAAAGACTGAAGATGAACTCATCTTTTATAAGACCGATCTAAGCTTGTTTGTCTGTCTGACTATCCTGTTTTCTTGTGTTCAACGATCGCGATTTTTTAATGAAATTCGGTACATCGACATTTTTTAAAACGAAGAATGAACGCTCTTAAAAATAGTTCGGATGGGACCATTTCTTCGATGTGTTCCAATATACCAACATATTTTGAAAAGTCTTGATGTGAATAACTGCATTAAGTAAAGCGGTGTGGAGTAATGGTAATGTAATTGTGGACCGTGCCACACTGCAGCTTCTTCACTTGGCTTGAATTCTAATCAAAGAAAAATTCAACCTTTTTGCCTCGGAATGAGTTAGTTCTAAATAAAGCATAAAAAGAGTTTGGAGGAGTAGATTTGCAAGGTCCAAATTCACTAAAATATCAATTATTTTCATCTAAAAAAAATAGACTTTATTGCCATGTAAATAAAACTCTGCTTTTCATGAGGATCGTTTTATGAGAAAGGATGCGAACATAGATCGTCATTGCCCAAAAGTATGCACAGTTTATATATCAAATGTTCCGTGTGATATAAGTTTCGTTACAATATACTAAAAAGTAGACCTTGAATATATCTATATAAAAGCTTCTCTTTGTAAAAATATTTAGATGGAAAAGCGCTGAAAAAGTGGTCCTATCTGATCCAAACTACCTAAACACCTCCTTATCAAATTTGCCAAAGTGAAGGCATTGTTGCAATAAGTTGTTCATAACAAACGACTCAAGCAGTTTGTGTTGTGCTTCGTCTGGCAAGTATGTATACTATCGAGTA